TTTCTGGATAGCCAGACTTGAACTAGACAGTGTCAGGTCCCTTCCAGATCTGGATCTCTGCTCCTCTGACCCCATGACCTCTCAAAGGCTCTACTATAGTTTCATGGCCAGAGACAAGAAAATCACCATTCGACAGCCCTGGACAAGGAGAGGAGGTGCCTTGCTGACAACAACTGAAATTTAACTTCCATAAGGTGAACTGAAGTGTCAGGCCCTTCTACAAACCAAAAGAAAGTCATCTCTAAATAAGCAGCAGGAAGCAGAACAGGATCTCTTAGGCAGAGGAAGCTGCTCCCTTCTCAAGGGCTTGCTCAGAGGGCCGAAGCAAAGTCAGTCATCTGGAGTCATCCTTGAACCCATGACTAATGAGCAAGGAAGCTGCATTCTAGGATCTTAGGATAAAAGTTGGAAGGTCCTTATGGATCAGCTAATCCAGGCCCATTATTCTATAGATGAGAAAACCAAGGTCCAGAGTGATGTGCTCTAGGTCCCACAGGGAGCCAAGAAGAGAACCATGATTCAAACCCTGGCTACAAATACTTTCCACTCCACCACGGCACAGACATTTCACACGACATTCAAAACAAGTCCAGGCACCCTTGTGCTTGCCTCCAGCTCGTGATCCGGAGGTCATTGGCTCCCACCTCTCTCCCTGTCTTTACCCTACAGAGGGACCAGGCAAGTCAACAGAGAGCTCTCTGGGAACTTTTCTCTGGGGTTTCTCCCTTTCCCAACAACAGGATGGGATGTGACACAGCTAGTCAGCAACAGAACAGGGTGGGAATGCATGTCTCCCAACTCCCATTCCTGTGCTTTTCACCCTATGCCACATTGCCTTGGTAGAGATGTAGGTGACAAGGCCCATTAGGCAGAGCCGCCAACATTGATGGTCTCATATCTATCATTATCAAAGCTTTGTGGAGTCCAACTTTTTCATTTCTTTGTGAGTCTTATATGAACCCCCAAAAGCTGTTGTTTTAGGTTTTATTTTATTAAGAATTATAGGAAATAAGGTTGCCCTACATTCCTCCTACTGATCCGCTGACTTTTCCACACTCTTACACACAGTAGGTGCTTAATAAATGATTACTGAATTCAAAGTCAGCTCTATTAAGCCTCTTAAATATCTAAAAATAGTAGCTCCAGGATGATGCTTTTAGAGGGAGGAAGTGAGTTTGGAGGGATAAGAAAGCGTAAAGTCGTTGAGGAGACAAACTCCTGAGTTTCCCCTCCATCCAACCAGCCCTAGCAGCCCCTCTAGCTTTGAGGACACTGGGCAAAGGGGCAGAGAGGTGATGAGCTCTGCAGTGAGATCCAAGTCTCCGAGGAGTCCAAGGCCTCTAGGGATGCCCCCCGGACCTAGGGCCCCCATAGTGGGAAGGGCACCCAAGGCTGCCGTCAGGTTTGTGGCCCACAGTAGACTTGCTTTGGAACTAGGATCACTAAAGTATTCACTTAGATAAGAATATCATCATCTAATTCCTTCATTTTGCAGATGAAAAAACCAAGCCCAGAGAAAGACTCACACCCCAAATTTATATTCACTGCTGGTTAGGGGGTTTGTCTTGTTCTCACAGTGGAGAGTTTACCAGCTTTTCTGTCCTTCACAGAGTCTGCCATGTAATCTTCCTTTTGTCTAGGCATGACCACGTCATTCTACTGCTCAACAATCTTCCATGGCTCCCTACTGCCTAACCTCCAGAGTGAAATACTCGAGCCTCTCAGGGCATCTGCGATTTGCTTCCACCCTCTCCATCTCTTTGGTCTCATTTCACACAACTGCTCTTCACATGCTATGTTCTAGACAAGTGAAGAATCAAACCACTTCCTGACCTCAAAGTGTACTTCTATGCAGACTGGTCACCATGCCTGGAATGCTCTTTTCTCCTCCTCACTATTTCTTCCAGGTCAAGGGCCGCCTCCCCCATGAACACCTACATGTTCCATCCCAGCTCCAAGCACTCTCTTCCACCTCCAGTTTTGAACCATTCATGTTTGGCTGTCTTCAACACAGAATCTCAGCAGAAAGAGACCTGGATGGGCCATCAAGTCCAGTCAATACCAGAAGAGGAATCCCCATCATAACATGCCCTACGAACAGCCATCCAGTGTGGGCTTGGAAACCACCAGTGAGGTGGGACCCTAGCCTCCCAAGAGATGGCTAGGCCATTCCCCTTTGGGGTGGCTCTGGTTGGTAAGAAGTTCTTTCCTTACATAGAAGCCAAGTCCTTGGCTCTGCAGTTTCCACTGATCCTCCTTCTGGCCTCTGAGACCAGGCAGAACAAAGTGAATCCTACCATCAGAGGAAGCTAGCTCTCAGGAGTTCCCCTCCCTGCCATCTCCTCTTCGCCAAGAGAAAAAGATCCTCAGTTCCCTTCATCAATCCTCCCATGATGCCCCAAATCCTTATGGGAAGTCCCCAAATGCCACACCCTTCCCTCACTGAACAAAGACAAGAGGTCTCAGAATGAAAGTGACAGAAAAGGGGGAAAGGAGAGGTAATTCTATTGCGCTTGGCAGCAAACATCTTCTCTTTAAGGGTTACAAATCAAAAAGGAAATTAAGGGCCAAGTGTGAGGAAATGAGCAGCAAGCCCAAATGCAAGTGTCCAAAACATTTGCAAGGGTATAAAGAACAGGAATTCAATCCCAGAGCATTTCTCAGAAGAGCAGGCCCGAGCTAGGGAAAATGAATGTGCTTTGTGTAAAAGCTGTGGCTGAAACATGACTGAAGAACCACTGGGCAGATGGATTACAAGCCATCAAAAATTGGTTACAGAAGCCAGGCCCCACTGAAAGCCCAGCTGCAGTGCAGACCCCCAAAGAGGCCACCTGGCCCAAGGGCCCATCAGCTAACACTCCCAGGGACCTCTCCTTAGGTGACTCACAGCTCAGGGGGGCAGGCATCATGTTTGAGCTGTGGGCCCAGAGAGAGATAAGCACAGGGACCTTAGCAGCCATCTAGCTAAACCTATACACAAAAGGGATCCCCACTACTACACACTCAACAAATAGTCATTCAGGCTCTGTTTGAAGACCTCCCAAGAGGGGAATTCTGCACCTCTGGAGATTGCCCATCCCACTCTGGGGACTCTCTCACGGTCAGGATGTTTTCCTAACATCAAGCCTCAATTTGTTTTTCTGTAACTTCTAGCCATTGGTAAAACACATCAAATCCCGCCTCTATACGACAGCCTTTGCAATACTTAAATCCTTCCAGGTCTTTTCTTCCCCAGGATAAGACATATTCTTAACCAAACAGGAGATAGAGGCAATTACAAAAGATGAAATAAATTACTTTTATTACTTGCAAGCTTCCACACAGATAATATGAATTTATCCAGGATAAGAAGGGAAGTGGTTGAATGGGAAAAAAAATCTTTGTATCAAATTTCTTTGATAAAGGTTTAGTACTCAAGATATAGAAACTATACACACACACACACATACATAAACACACATATATACATATATATACAGAGAGAGGGACAGTTATAGAGTTATATATATGTAGTTTTATACACACACATATACATGTAAATAACTAATAGTCAATCCCTAATAGATAAATGGCTAAAGAATATAAACAAACATTTCTCAAAACACAAACTGAAAAATATTCATAACCACATGAAAAAATGTTCCAAATCATTAATAATAAGAGAAATGCAAATCAAACCAACTCTGAAGTTTTAACTCATACCCTGAAAATTTTCAAAAATGACAAAAAATGGCAATACCCAATGTTGGAGGGGTTGTGGGAAGATAGGCACATTAATACATTGTTGGTAGAGCTGTGAAATGGTACAATCATTTTGGAAAACAACTTGGAATTATACAAATAAAGTGAATAAAAATGCCCATACCTTTTGAACCAGAGACTCTATTACTGGGCTTATACTCCAAGAAAGCCATCAATAAGAAAAAAGTCCCCATATACTCCAAAATATTTATAGTAGCATTTTTTGTAATAGCTAAGAATTGGGGAAAAAAAGTAGATGCCCATCAATTGTAGAATAGCTAAACAAACTGTGTTATATAAATGTAACAGAATGTTTCTGTGCTGTAAGAGATGATATGTGTGATAAATACAGAGAAGCATGGAAAGATCTGCATGATCTCATATAAAGTGAAGTCGGCAGAGCCAAGAAAACAACATCCACAGTAACTACAACAATGTAAATGGAAAGAATACCACCACACCAAAAAAAAAAAAAAAATCAAATGTAAATGTGACAAAATTATAAAGATCAAGTTGAACTCGAATACAGAGTTTTGAGAAGACACTCTTATTTAACCTACCCCCTGGTGGGAGTTACAGGTGTTACACATTGCATGTTTTCAGACTTTCTCAACACATTGCTCCGTTTTGCTGATTTTCCCCTCTAAAATCCACCCCCACTATCTGTCATATGGGATGTCTCTCAGGGACAGGGAGGGAGAGAGACATGTGGGACACTATGGTGATGTAAAAAACAGAAAACATCTAAAAATGTTTATTTAAAAAACCAGAAAATAAAAATAACCCATTCTTTCACACCATTATCCTTGAGGGGACAGACCACAACATGATCAAAACCACACAGATAACCCAACAACAAATACAGACATGAAGACAGAAACAACTTTATGACATCTATATATATCAACCATGCCAAAATGACACAGCTTCATCTAGATTTATTTTACGTCTAAAGCATAATGAGCTGCTGAAGTGCTTTATAAACCTTAAAGTGCTATATAAATACCAACTATTATTAATTCATAATTCTAATGTAATATCATATTAATAATATGACATGATATGATAATAACAATCCCTAACACCCAATGCAAAAACACCATTCTAGCCAATTCAGCTTTTTGCCAGTTGACTTAGCTAACAAAATTAGAACTAAGGATATTCAATGGACCCATGAAAAGCATCATCTATCGAGGCTCGAGTCAGAAAATACAAAGGAAAAAGGGACAATGAGAGAGAGGTAACATAAAGGCTTTTACCTGACTAAGTTAGTACATGGTCCTGGCCATCGGCAGCTCTGGTACACCCTCTGGAACACTGTTTCGGACCCATTCTGTACTTGACACGAAACCATCTTTGTCACGATATGATGGCACCAGTTCCTATGGGGAAGAAGAAACTCACATGTCAAATAGGCACTTTCCTAAGCCAACTACCATGACACCTGCTTCAGAATTTGGCAGTCTTGAAATGCCATATTACACAAAAGCCATCCAGTCCAAGCTCTTTATCTTAGAGATGAGGACACTGAGACCCAGGGAGGTTTAGGTGACTTGTCCAAGGTCACCTTGGCAGTGCCTGAAATGGGATTTGAACCTAGGTCCTGACTCCAGAGGCAGTACCTTCTACTAAGCCATGAGTATCAGATGAGGTAACAGATGTAAAGCACAATTAGCTATAAAAAGCTATAGAAATGGAGGCTAATTTTATCAACATCTTCATCATCATCATCAGATCATGGACTTAGAGGTGAAAGTGACCTCAGAAATCACCCAGTCAATAATATTGATAAACTTAACCCTTCCTGGCAATACAAGGATCTAAGACATCTCCAGAGGCCTCGTGATGGAAAACGCTATCCACATCCAAAGAAAGAACTATGGAAGCCGAATTGTTATTTTTTTCTCTTCTGTTGAGTTTGGTTTCCTCTTTTTGATGGTTCCTCCTATTGGTTTTAATTTCAACTTACAACATCACTAATGTGAAAATATGTTTAATATGAATGTAAATGTATAGCCTATATCAGATTATGTGCCATCTTGGGGAGGGAGGTGGGGAGGAAGGGGGAGAAAGATTTTAAACTCAAAAGCATATGGAAGTGATTATTGATAAATCAAAATAAATTAATAAAAAAAAGAAATCACCCAGTCAAACCACCTAATTTTACAGAAGAGGAATCCAAGTTCCAAAGAAGGGATGAGCCTGGTCCAAGGTCATAAAGGCAGCATCAGGATTCTAATCCAGGTTCCCTAACTACAATCCAGTGCTCTTTCTACTTCTCCCTACTGCTTCCCCTCATCACTATCATTCCTATAATGACCACCACCAGGGAACAGCCATCTTGAGGAGCATTTACTTCGTGAGCCGGGATCTTTAGCAGTTACCACCACTCAAAAGCCTCCTTCCGCGAAGGATAACTAAAGAACACATGGGGTGGGGTGGCATCTAGACTGCTCAGTGGATAGAGCACCTGCCCTGGATTCAGGAAGACCTGAGTACAAATCTGGCCTCAGACACTTGACACTTACTAGCTGTGTGACCCTGGGCAAGTCACTTCACCCCACTGCCTCACAGAAAACAAAGAACACATCAAGGACCTTCTGAGGAAAATCTCACATTTGGGAGAGCCCCATCCCCTGCAGAGCTCAGCGGGACTTACAAAGCATCTGTCTCCAGCATCCTCACAAAAAAGGACAAAAAGAGCAGGGGTTATTCTGTCTATTTCAAAGATAGGGAGAACAAGTCAAAGAGACACTGAACCACTTACAAACATCTATACCATAGATCAGAGAATAAATTCAAGCCCAGAACATTCTTATGCATTTAGGTGTCACAGTGGGTAGAGTTGGATTTGTGGTTAGGAAGACCAGAGTTCAAATCCTGCCTCAGATACCTAGCTGTGTGATACTGGGCAAGTCACACGGCCTCTCTCAGGCTCAGTTTCTTCATCTGTAAAATGGAGATAATAAAAGCAACTACCTCATAGGACTGTTGTGAGGCTCAAATGAGATATGACTATTCAAAGCCTTTTGCAAGCCTTCAAGAATTACATAAGTGCTACTTATTATTAGATGCAAGTTATGCTATTATATGTAATACTAGTTATATATTACATATTATATTTATTATGTTTATAATATTTATTGTTAAGAGGCTACCACAAGAGATACAGAAAAACCAGGCTCCCATAGAGAGAAGAATATGTTGTAGCTGTGATTCAAGCAAACGTCAGTATAAAATGTATCCTTTGCAACACATGAAGAGGTCTCAAAGATGTTCAAACTAGTTTCAAACCCTAGTGTTTGTTGCTTTTTCAGAAAGAACCATGGATCTGGTGAAACGCTTTTCAGTATGAATTGCTCTATCTGTACATAATGTCTACATCAGGATTAATATAAACATTTAACACCAGGATCTTTCCCTTATTTTCTGAGAGGTCCAAATATTGCTGCTATACTCCAAGGAGATTTTTAGTCAAGGATTCTGGAAAGGAAATGAGCTGTGAGTTGGAAAAAAAAATTTTAATTCATCAAATCATTCTCTCCAGATATTTAATTTTTTAATGAGCTGAAAAAGGCTTCCATAAATTAAGGTCATGCCCCATCTCCAAAAAAAAAAAGTGAAAAAGGTAAAAATGGATAAAGAAACCAAGGGCACTCCACTCTTAAAATCTAAATTCAAAAGCACATAGAATAACCTAATTTCATCCAGGTTCCTAGAACAGCCTCCCTACACACACACACACACACACACACACACACACACACACACACACACA